AAAGAGTGTGTATTTACCCTTTCACCTGAATTTACTTATTCCCTACTGCTGAATAAATTCTCAAATCTGATGTGTCAGAAAAATTTTAGAGTTTTTTTTTGTCCAGTTCCACCACATTTTATCTCTTGCTGCCGAATTGTGATTTCTTTGCTGAGTCTGCACAGCAGAATACATTTAACGTAACAGGCTGCAGATGAATTTAAGCTGTTGCTTCTGTTAAAAGTGACTAGTTCTTCTATTCCTTTGGGGAGCTTCTGGATTTCTACCTTGTGCTAACCTAATTGCATAGATTCACCTTTGTGAAATGATGTATCTGTCTAAGCTGTAATGAACAGGATCTTTCATTGCAGTCAAAAATAGCAGGAAGAGATGCTTCTAGGGAGGGAGGAGGTGAATATTGGACTGTAAATACGGCTGGGTTGTAAAGATTGGTACCTGTTGATCTTCATCTGTGCAAAGGGAGAAAGTTGAAACTTTGTGAAATAAACAAGGCTTTCCTGGTCTAATGAAAAAATGGTGTGTATAGAAACTTCAACCAGAAACAGTTGATTGTATCTGTTATTATCAAAACTCTTAATAGAAGGTGCTGATATTTTTTTTTGTTTACCTGAGACAAGGTAGTGCTGTGCATCAGCTATAGAAAAATTATATCCAGAGAAGCCTCAGTCACTAACAAATTAGTTTAGCTGTATGTATGTATTCTTTATTTGTTAGAGATGGAATGCTATTTCAACATCAAAAAGTGAATGTGGTATTTTTTACTAAGTAAAGGGTTTTTTTTCTAAATTGATTGTGATTTTTGTTTTAATTTAGCAATAGTGAATAATATGATGCAGGTTGCTTTTTTTTTTTATCTTTTTTTAGGTGATTACAAGTGAGGAAGCAGAAAGACGAGGCCAGCTCTATGACAACCAGGGAAATACATACTTGTTTGATTTGGACTATGACTCAGATGAATTTACAGTAGATGCAGCTCGATATGGAAATGTGTCCCACTTTGTGAATCACAGTGTAAGACCTTGTTTTGTATACTAAGAATTTGGACAATTATCTTAATTGTGACAGAAGCATCTTTTTCTGCTGTAAATATTTTACCATATTTACATCTTTTTCTGGAGTATGTTTCACGCCAGCACAGTCCAGTTGGTTAGATGACATAATACATAGAACAGAATATTTAGCCTTACTCAGAGCGGGACTATTTACAAAAATCTGGGAATGAGGTGCTGCCTGAAGTGGGCATCTGGTAGAACTGGGATTGTCACTGGATCTGCTGGCTCTAGACAACCAAAATAGGGTTGGTTTGGGTGTGGTTTTTTTCCAAGTAACTAAAAGACCTAACACATGAGAAGTACTTAATATAATTAGTGAAGAGTCAAAGATGGTAGGAAATAATGCATTATTTTGTAGCAGGGCAGGATGGGCGGTTATGCCAAATTTCATTCTTCAAACATTGGTAGAGGAAAAAATGAAAATTCCTATGCTTTCTTTTGGTATTTTTCCCCTGTAGATACCTTTTTTCCCTCCTCGTATCGAATCTCAACTTGCCAGAAAACTCGAAAGTAAATTCTAAACAAGAAATTTTTGTAGTGTTTTCTTTCCTGTTCGACTGAAGTACCTAAAGCAAGAAGGCTGAACTGCATCTGTAAAGAAATTATGTATCATTCCTGAACTAAAAGTGATTATTTCTTACTGATGTAATGTTTGTGAGGTATGCAGTCAGTGTTCTACAAATACAGTAAATTCATGTCTTCAGATTTGTGAGCTGATGAGGTTTCTGTTTCGTGCGGGCTTGGTAGGGAGAAGGGTGAAGCAGAATTTTAGGTACAACCAATTGCTTTTCACTTTCAGAAACAGGGGTGAAGTATTCTCACTCTTCAGTGTAGAGTTAAATGTCTGATTTCACTTCTCATTCTTTAATGTGGGATATATTTTTTACTGTTAAAGAGCAAAAAAGCATGCAGAGTTTAACAAACTGCCCCAGTGACAGCTGACTTCTGACAATCCAGAAAAAATAAAGTGGTTTCTAGTTCCTGCTTAGTGTCCTTGACCCTCCCCCTGCCACCCAGCCCATAGCAGATAATTCAGAAGCCAAGCAGGTTAGCAACTGAAAATAGAAATTTATTCATAAAACAAAAATACTGTTTCTGGCCTGGAAGCAATGCTTAAACCTAATTACAGAATAGTGAGTGTGTGGCTTGAAATGCCAGGTTGTTTCTTCTTTTCTTTCAACTTTAATTCTTTTTGTGGGTTTTGTAGGTAAATACTAACCTTAAAATGTAACTTTAATTGCTTTGTTTGCCATCTTTTTTTGTTGTCATCTTTTGAAGGTACCATTATTTTTTTTAATAGGCTGTTGCATATTAGTGTAGTCTACGTACTCTGTAAAGGTTGTTGCCTTCTTGAAAGGACTCTAAGCTATGAGGGTTCTCCTTTAATGCTATTTCAAGAACGTGATTTGTTGATTTCAGAAGATAACTTGATTTCAGACTTCTGTCACTGAGAGAAGAACCAGTTCTTCTTTTCCTGTGACCTTGCTTTACTTAAACGCTTCAGTGAAACTTACTGTGTGTTTTTCTTAACAGAAACTACATTAACTTTTGCCTTACAGTGTGATCCAAATCTTCAAGTCTTCAATGTGTTTATTGATAACCTCGACTTGCGTCTTCCTCGAATAGCGCTGTTTTCTACACGAACCATCAAGGCTGGAGAAGAGCTGACCTTTGACTATCAGATGAAAGGTCTGCAGATTTTAACGCTGTTGTTGCGGGAGGCTTGGGGCACTGGTGGGTTTTGTTGCAGCCTGACTGATGATAGCGTTTCAGGTCAGGCACTGCATCTCCCTAGCACAGCTCTGTGGATTCTAGAACAGACATCTCTTTTTGATGTGTAGTGTAAATAGAGCGCACCCAGAAGCTTTTGTGTGCACCTCTGGTGCATTACCTCCTTCAGCACTCCCAGTTTACAGCAAGGCCTTGTAGTTGGAACGTCTGACAAGGCAAGTTATTTTGAAGATTTGTGATGAGAATTCTCAAAGGAATGGTCAGGCTACCATTAAAAAAAAAAAAAAGCTTTCCTTCATTCAAATTGGTATTTCAGGTAAACTACCTTCTAAATAATCTACTAGTGATAAAGACAGTTGTAACAGCTGAGTGGTCTAAGGCACCGTAGGTTTGTCTTTGGATTCTGCTGTCTGTAGTCTTCCATTGTGGATGTAGGTCCTGTGGTACAGATGTTTAGGATGGAAGGACAGTCCAAAGTTTTTTACCGTGAGAACCATTGTTCACTGTAACAACCTCTCCAGGAACACGTTGGAGTCCCCATCACTGGAGATTTTCAAGATGCGTTTGGACAAGGTGCTAGATAATCTCATCTAAACTCCCTTTCCAACAAAACATTGTACCAGATGATTATTTGATAATTGATCTTCCATTGATTGTTCAAGGTCAGGTTGGACAGGGCTTTGAGCAACCTGATCTAGTGCGAGATGTCCCTGCCCACTGCGGGGGGGTTGGATGAGAAGGTCTTTAAATGTCCCTTCCAACCTGAACCATGACTTCATTTTTTTTCCAATACAACAAAAAATTCTTGAGGCTTGCTGGCCGGGCTTTTGTGTTTGTCAAACTTTGTGTGCAAACTATTTATGCACAACAGCAAGGTATTGCTGGCCCCGCTATTTAGTTTCCAAAGAAGCGTCTTTATACTCCAGCTGTGCTCTCAGCTGACCAGTATGGGTACAGACCTGAGGGTACAAGGCTCGAGTTTGTTGAGCTTTGGATTCTGATACGTGTGCTAGGTGTTGTGTAAGTAGCTGTAACGCGTGTCGGTAGACTTTGATGGTAGCTTCACACACAATTCTTCTAAGAAGTGGGGTGGTAGAAGGCTTTTGAAACCATTTGAATACCTAACGCAGTTTCAGTCTGTCTCTTAAAACTTCCGTTTTTGTGTTTGTCTGTGTCACAGGTTCAATAGATCTGACTTCAGACTCTGCTGATGGTCTTAGCCCATCCAGAAAGAGGATCAGAACTGTCTGTAAATGTGGAGCTGTGTGTTGCAGAGGTTATCTCAACTGAGTTTGGGTATCCAAAGTCACAAATACTTTGTTCTCTTTTAAATGTGTTTTAAGAAGACTCTTCTTTCACACATATATTCAAGTATTCTTATGTCTAGTGTAAATAAGTACAATGAAAACAAGGCATTACATTTGTAATTGAAATGGCGTTGGCCAAAGAAAGAGATCTAGTGTTTCAGGCAAATAACAGGGATTAAAAGTTGATTTTTCTAGAACTGTTATTTAGGAAGCAGTAAAATGTATGATAAGAGAACTCCTTAAAATGTACTTTGATTTGAACATTTGATTGTGACCTTACAGCCGTAGGCCTCTTAGGAGGTCAGTGGGATGAAGTGATGTTACATATTTTCTATACCATGAAAAGTCTGGAGGCATTTGATTTGAATCTTAAATCATAGCTGACAGTTCTTTTGCTTTTTTTGTTGTATAAGTAAAAGCTTCAAGAGATTAGCAATAACATTTATGGCACAAGGGTGAAGGGGTAAGGTCAGCCATCAGACTGTCTAAATAAAGGTTCACAGGAATGCAAGTTGTTTCATGTGCATTGAAGCCCACGCAAGTAAAGCGATTTGCTTTAGCAGATTCTAGATGTAAGATCAAGGTCTCGAATGTTTTTTGCTGATGTTATTTAGAAGTTTTACAAACAGATTTTTTTTCTATTTTTTTTTTTTCAATTGTTACATTCTGATTTTTAGTTAGGATGCTATAGGTGGTCTGCAGTTCTACAGAGAATTTGTAAATACCAGATTATCTGTAGTAAGGTACGCTGTTTGTTTTCATTGCAGAAATTTGGCAGTCATTGCTGAAACAAATGACTGGCTGCAGTTTGGAAATAGATAACAAAAGAATAGGGAGAGCAGCCCATTGTCTAACAGAGCTGATGCGTTATGGAGATAACGCTCAGTTATCTGTTAGATGCAAAAATTTCCCAGGAATTCATTTGTAGTCACAACTGGTTTTGATTAAGTTTTTACATACTGTGACTTCTTTTATCTAGTGATAGACTTGTAAGATACTAGGGCCGTTTTTTCCCGTTGCAAAAATGTTAAGAGAAGTTAGACTAGGGGGAATTTGCCCATTTGCTGTAAACGTTTGCAAGATGTTCTTGAATGTAAAGGCTGAGAAATGTACTGTTCTTCAGCTGCTTGAGTATTGTTTTGTTTTTTGGTTTTTGTTTTTTCCTGATCATCTTAAAGTTGTCTCGATCTATTCATAATGTATGCTAAGTTTTTCTTGGCTTCAAAAACACTGAAGAGCAGTTGAAGTAGGTTATGAGTGGAGTTACAGCCAAGGTCCGTGCTCCAGGGATGATCCAAGTGCTTTATTCTCACGGATTAAAAGCTTGTAAAACTTGCATATTGCTTACAAATCATGTAAATGTTGATAGGGTCAGGCAGAATAACGTTGCTCCATAAAAGGATGCCAGCTATGTATCATAGGTCAGCTAGTTACCTTTATAAGGTGCACCGCTGTTGGCTCAGGTGAATGAAGTCGCGTACCCAGCATATAACCGTTTACTTAATTTGTTAGAAAATGCCTTAAATTTCATGTTAATTACTGGCACTCCAAGAAGAGTGCTTCAACTGATAATACAGGTTGGTTGTTCATTAAGAAGCACAGTTGTGTTTGCACTGAAGATCCAGCTCTTTGGCAGAAAGTGAAATTTTATATGCTACTAGCCAAAATCAGTTTCACGGTTGGGGTGACAAGTGTGGGCCACTGAAACTTCTGTGTAAGTTTTGTAATCTACAATACAGAGAGATACACATTGAAATAGATACTTTATATTGTTTAATGAATAGGAGAAAGTTTGTTAAGATTTAAAAGTATTTGACATTACCAGGCTCACCTGTATCCACACACTTGGATAAATGCTGAATCTAGTTCATTTTTATCCTGCCACATCTCTAATGATTTTATTTTTTTTATATAAAGTTGAAGTGGAATGGGGAGCTTTAATGTTAGCAAACTCTGGGTGATCTTACATCATTTGGAGTCATTAGTACTTTCTTTTGCATGTAGCCCAATTCGGCGATGCATTCCACGTGGATGGAATCTGCAATCTCCAGCTCCTTAATCCGCTGCAGCCGCAGCCTTCCCTGTGGGTACAGGATGGCAAGAGTGGCTGCTGCAAGAAGTGGATTCCTTACCAAATCAGTTTTTCTGGCCTCTCCTGTACAAGATGACACAGGGCTGGTTCGACACTCTTTTTGTCTACGTCCATGCCCAGTTTGATTTAAAAATTGCAAGTAAATGCATTTTAAAAGATAAAAGTCTTTAAAGTTTTACTTGAGTTCAGTGTCTGCCTTTTTCCCAAGGCAGTATGTGTTACCACCAGCATTGGAATAACACTGCTGTTCTTTAAGGATATGTGTGTTACCTCTTGTGTGATAAATAAAGGACTGTTAATTTATGCTCTGGGAGGTAACAGTATTTTGTATTTATTGGAAGTAAACCCATGTATCCAGTTTCCAGAGTATCCATGTATCCAGAGCCTTGAACAGTATTTTATATTTACATATTCACAGTCCATTTGGATTGCAGTCAGTGAATTAATTTAATGGGACACTGTGTCACTTTTAAAACTCCTTTTGCTGTTGTTATGAGTTTGAGGGGAAAATTGCCTAATTGGAAAAGGAGAAAAAGCTATTTTTACATTCTTAAGGACCCTAAACCAGCCTAGCTTCTGCCTTTGTTTTGCTTGGTGGTCTGTTAGCACCATTGTGGCCACCAGGTCAGTTCTGTATATGCACTTCTTAGAGACTGGTAACCTGTGATCTGTCCTCTAGCTGTTCTTTTCCATTGGGTTTAATTTATTTTTTTTTTGGTAGCAAAACTAAAGCTGCAAGATCACCTGTAAGAAAAGCTATTGTCTATTTACTTAATCTCAAAGTTAAGTCAATCTTTTGGTTATTTCTACTGCATGTTTTAGGACTGTGTACATTAGGATATGCAGTTTGTAAGCTCAGGAACACTTTCTTCTCATAATGTGTGATCTCTAGTATTGCTACCTTCCTATAGTTTTTGATAAAATAAATTAAATTTAGTTTTTCTCTTCTTGTTGTCATTCTTAAAAAAAAAAAAAAATAAATCTTAGCCTGTCAAAATTAGCTGCAGCAATAGAATTTGCTTTAAGACTGCAACTTCTGAATTCTTGTTCTGTACCCAAATTTTCAAGCACTATATGGACTGTAGTAGAGTGATCATGAGGAAGTCATGTGTTTCCTGTTCAGTTCATGGCTGGTAAGAAATGATATAAATTTACACTATCGACTTATCTACAGTAGACTGGGTTCCTGTATATTTAAGCATACTGTAAACTCAGCCCTGAATTTAAATGTATTTACAGTTAAGGAAATAAGCCAACAGAAGAGATCTTGCTCTGTATGACTTTAATCACAGAGGTAGGTACAGCGGCAGTTGTGGTCACTCAAGCTTGTTTAAGAAAAAAAAAAAAAAAAAAAAAACAGACATTGATAGACCACATTTGGAAAGTATGTTAACAAATCCCAGGAATGGAGTGAGCAAGGTAACAGTGGAGAAATAAATGGACTTGAATATCCCTAAAACTATACACAGATTATAGCAAATTTTTTTTTCTTCCCTTCCTGCCACTGTTCCCAGCTGGCTGGTTTGTCGCTCACATAGTGCTAAAGGTGGCAGGAAGACTGAAGAGGTGTATGGAGGGGAGAGCTGTCATACTACAAGTCTGTTTAATACTTTAGGACTTAAGACCACATGGATGGGAAACTACATGGATTTTTAGATGACTTCTGCTGTTCAGGCATTTTGTAGGGACTGCAATTTAACAAAAACCCAAATTACATTTCTATTTTAGAAGCTAAGAATTTTGGCAACACTGAAGTGAAAACTCAGGATTAAAGTCGAAGTGAAACTATTGCATTGTCAGTGCATCATTTCAATGCATTTCATTGCATTGAAGAGAAGTGTTCCTCTCCACAATAAAAAATGTGGTATTTTATTAAAACCTGAGATCACATACATGTCAAAGGCAAACTCTTAGAGCTCACAATAAAGAGAAACACTAAATTTCATTTAGTGTTCTACCCTTAGTTTTGTCTGGTTTGTTTTTTGTCTGCTTACAGGCCTGGACAACTGAAACTGGGGAGGCAGAAGGCTTTTAAAGTCCCTCCTAGGAATACTTCCTTTTCAGTATCTCATGGAAGGAACAATAAAGTTACACAGGCTGCAAATGGCTGTTTATGACAGTAAGATACTTCTGAAAACGTGTCGACTAGCATAGGTGCAGCTAGTAATTGGCACTAAAAAGAAAAGTCATTTGGGTTTTGATAAAAAAAATCTTGGTATTTACTATGAGGTAATCAGTTATACCTATCTTGAGGAGACTTTTTCTCATTGAGTATATTTTCACCTGCTGCTAGCTTCTTATATAAATAGTGCAGTTTATCTGGCTGAGGCACTTCAGCATCAGGAGTCGAGGGAATTTCAAAGTCAGAGGAGCTCTGGGAGTCCCTCCTCATTTCTAGATCAGGAGTCCTGGAGTTGTCACCGGTTTCCACCAGCACATCTTGAACATGAGCAGCACCAGCTTCTGCAGCTTTCTCAGTGTCTCTGCTTTCCAAGTCACAGGCAACATCGTAGGCACAAGAATTGTTTTGACCCAGCGGCTTCCACCTACTGCTGTCAGATTGACTGTCCTTGGCAGTCTCCTGTGATGCAGAAACAACTGCTCTGCTCCCACCTTTGCCGAAGCAGCTGAAGTCCAACGCGTTTCTCTCCTGGGAGGTAATGAGTACTGTGTCCATTTGGCTATCCCAGCCCTGGCTCCCCTGCTCCGATATGTGTGTCGACTGAGAAGAGTTTTGGGAGGAGATGTGTGTCGAGTCGCTTACTCCATCCGAATCACTGAAGAGTGACTGGGACCCCCCAGCATCGGCTGAAGATGGGAAGTTGTCCTCGTTTTCAGAGCTTTCTTCTAGTTTGTGGCACTTAAAAAATGCATCCCAGCGAGGGACGTCGGCATTAGACTCCTGTTGGTCACTAGTTACTCCATTGAAATTTGATGTGGAAGTGCCATCTGGCTCACAGGAAAGAACTTGAACTATATATTTTTCAGATTCTTCTTCATCATCTTCATCATC